GGGAGAGGCCTCTGGAGACAGTTGGAGTGAGTATGTTCTGCAGACCTCCCTCAGCTTAGGATGAGGTTGCCTCCAGATAAACCCATCCTAAGTTGAAGATGCATTCACTACACCCAGGCTACCCAACGTTGTAGCTTGGGACGGCACACCGCGGCGTACCAGTTGCTTCCTCTCCTGATCGCTTGGATCTTTGGGAGCTGCGGCTCGCTACTGCCGCCCAGCATGGACAGAGAGGATGGTTCCGCAGATCGTCAGCCTGGGAAAAGAGCAAATTCAAGATTCAAAGTTGTTTCTACTAAATGAGTATCACTTTTGCACCTTTCTTTGAAAAATTATAAGTTGAACCATCGTGAGTAGGGGCCATCTGTATATAAAATGTTTGTGGGAGACAGATAAGTTCCAGACTAAGGACATAGTTGTCTTTATAATTTAAAACGAGGTCAATTGTATGATTTAAGAAGTTAGATACAGAAAGCTTAACATTTATTCAGAAGCTTTTCCAGGACCTTCAGATTGGTTTTCATAGTAAGCTTATTTGTCAACTGACTTCCTTTCTAAAAATGTTTGAACTTTTCTCCTCTTGGTGTCTTACTTTTGTGCGTTAATCTGTTGGATGGCAGTTGCTCCTCCAGGGTTGCTGCTTGAGCTTTTCTACAGGAGCCTTCAGAAACACGGTCAAGTTTTTCAGGGTGTGTGGCGGGCTCGGTGCCTCGCCAGCCCACAGAGCCAGTTCTGTGCACTTCTCCCAACTGAGTCTTCAGTGACATAAGGCTGGCGATTCGAGATTGACTGAGGTGCAGGTATTCACGACGTGAAAATTGGCAGCCCCGCCCTCTTCCCTACAGAGCCAGTTGTAAACCAGCATAAGCAGGACGGACCTTTATCTCATCACATGATAGCACTGATACAAAGGTGTGGCTAGGATCCAACTAGGCAGAAACATATTTTCTTAATTTTCGTAATAATGACAACAAATAAGTTGATGGTTTTTGACATCGTTGTTCACTAGTTTTCTCTGCACTTTCACACTTGCTCTCCCTTCTGGTCTCTGGAGCATTCTCGAATTTCTCACAGAAGAAACAAATCTCTGTCCCATTTAGCAGCATCAGCCTCTGAGATTGCCATCTCCCAGGGGCAAAAGGAGGGGATTCCTTCAGGAAAACCGATACCTAGTGCTTACCAGCATGTCTTCCTCTGTACCTAGAGTAGGTAGTCTTCAGGACTCTGCTCAGAGGCTACCCCCACCTGTGTATCCCCTAATTCATGGCTTCTGCTGTCCTCTGAGGATGTTACTTGTTGCTCACTTTTCTCCTGTTGTGAGTTTCTAGGCCTGGGTCTATTCGTCTGTCTCCAAGGCACTCCTGTAAATGCTTCCTGAGTTGAGTGAGGGTCTCTGAAGTTGGTGGAGTAGCAGTTCTCAAAATCAAGGTTGTGTAGGAGTCTCCTGGAGAGCTTTTGAAAACAGGTATCTGGGGTGTAGCCCCGGAGTTTCCTACCCAGTGAGTGTCTTAGTCTGCTAAAGCTGGCTGCCATAGCAAAATACCACAGACCAGGTGACCAACCCAAAGGAGATTTATATTCTCACCTTTCTGGAGGCTGGAAGTCCAAGATCAAGATCCACCAGGTTTGGTTTCAGGTGCGGGCTCTCTTCCTGGCTTGCAGAAGCTGCTTTGTCTCCATGAGGCCTTTCTTCTGTGCATGGTCATAGGGAAGGAGCAAGTGAGCTCTCTGGTGTCTCTTATAAGGCCGTTAACTCTATTGGGTCAGAGTGCCCCTCCTACAACCTCACTTACCTTAATTACTATGTCCGAAGCCCCATCTTTACACTGAGGGGGTGATACAGAACATTTAGTCTATGTAAGTGCGCCTGAGATGGGACCTGAGAATTTACACTGTTAACACTTTCAAGTCAGCCGATGCTGCCGTACTGGGGACTGCACTTTGAGAATCCCCTGCCTTGGAGGAAGCAAGTGTTCAGAGCTTCTTACCACGACAGTGAGCAATGGCTAATTGGGAACAGGTTCGCTAGGGCTGTTTGTGAAGAGGCTGTCAGATGCCCACGCTGACCCACAGACAGCCCCTCTCCAGGGCACATGGGTGCTTACCCAGCTCTTGTTTCACCCACCCAAGTCCAGCTACTTCCTCTCTTCCCCACCCTCTTGGCCTCTCCAAAGGGTTTTCCTGTTTAAGCCCTGGGCAGGTCCCTTTTGGCTCCTCACTGACTCTGTTTTGCTGGCAACCACTGTCTTCCCAGGCCAGGCCCTGACCTGTGTTCCTCTGGCCAGGGAATGCTGTGTCCAGCTATTTCCCCATTCACGTAGTTGAGACCGCCCTGCCCTGTTGCCTCCTCTTTATTCCTGTGCCTGTCCCTTGGCTCTGTGCAGCTCAGGGTTCCCACTGCACCACTTCTGTCTGGCCTCCCTCTTCACACACTCGGGGACCCTCACACACACCCATGAGCACACACTCACACCTTACCAGAAAGCCAAACTGGCTCTTCTCACCCCTGCCGACTGTGTGCAAAGAGGATGTAGATTCCGGAGTCTGGCCTGGATGTGCATCCTGATGCTCTTAATTCCAAGCTGAGCAGCTAAGTATGGGAAAAGCAAACCACTTCCATCCTGTTTTTCCATTTTCCAGTTTTGTAAGTGGAGATACAGGTAACTACCTCAAAGTCAATGAAAATTATAGGAGAAAATATGTGTTAAAAGTCCTAAGTCTTGGATCTGGCAATAGTAAGCCCCCAATAAAATATCACTTTATCAGTCCCTATGAAACAGATCCTCCTGTTGCCCCCTTAGTCTAAATGCAGAGTAGGGTGCGCCTGGGAGTACGTGTTGTCAGGTTTTCTCAGTTAAACACCAATGATCTAAAGTTAATGTGTGAGGTGGATAATGGGCCAACTGTAGGGCATTTGTAATAGATATCTTGTTGACTTTCTCTGAGTTCACAATCTAGACTACGAGCTGGAAGGGCGACTCTTCGAAAAGGAATGGAAAGAACTGCACAGATGAACAGGTAACGAGCAGGACAGACAGACGGAGGCCCGCTTCTTTAGTTGTACATCTGGATCTGACAGCCCACACTGGTCTGGGGCTGCCACCAGATGCCCTACCGGGGGAGGCCTCCGCTTCATCTCCCTTCCTCCTGGGACTTTGTGTCACATCTGGGGTCAGAACCAAACAGAAGGCAGTAGAGAAGCTGGTGCAGTGGGTCTCAGCTAAGGGGGATCAAAGATCTCATTCTTGCATCTTATACATTTTATTTTAATGCAGAATATGTAAATATACATCCCTTTCCCAATCATTTTATTTTATCTTATTTTTGGTATGAGGGATCAAACTCAGGACCTTGTGCTTGTGAGGCAGGCGGCAGGCGGCAATACTGAGCTAAATCCCCAGCCCTCCAATCACTTTAAATTTGGAGTTTTCTGGTTGAAATTCTACTCTACCCATCTTGTATACATTACACTCAAGGTGTTTTATCAGTGATGTGCAGTGTTGATTTCTTTACATTATAGCAAAGAGGTTTAACTGTAAGCTCCTTCTGTTTGCTTGATTTATTTCTAGTCTTTTCTAGTCCCTCACTTACCCACAGTTATCTTTTATTTTTTAATTAATTAATTTATTTATTTATTTATTTTTGGTAACTCACTGTCCTTTGTTGGTGAAAAACAACAAAGTTGTTTAACCTTCAAAAAATTCAACTTATTTTTCTGAGAACCAACTTTTTGTGTACTCTGTTTATCCATTTCAATAGTTTCAATTAAGACCTGTAATTGTGATAACAGATCTCACCAATATAAGTAAGCCTGGGGACGACAGGTAAGACCCACCCTCAGCTGCTAGGTTGGGGAGAGCAGAAGGACACAGTGGGTGTCTCGGAAGGCACCTGCTACCTGTGAGGAGTTGGCTTCTAATCTAGATGTGGACTTCTAGTCCCGCTGAAAGGGGGGTTGGCTCCATAACATCCGTGCCAGCCTCTAAGGCCCGGTGGATTCATCCTGTGAGGTGCTCTGCAGGCAGCTCTTCTCTGTCCTCCAGCTGTGTGTGAATCTCTTGTTGAACGCCTGTCTCATCTCATCCTCCTAGCTTTGCTTATTTCCCAGCCTTCTGGGGCCTTTCTAATGAGGGCTCTCATGGCTTAGATTTGGAGGCTCCTCCTAGGTGTGGCTTCTTGGGAGGTTTCAGATGCGAGGTGGCACCTATCTGGCTCCAAAGCTAACCCAGTCCCTTCTGCCGAGGTTTCTGATGAACCTTTGTTCCACCGTATATTTTCCCATTTCCTGTCTCCCTCAGGGAATCATGAGGGGCTTCTAAAGATAATATTTCTGGAACTTTAATCTTGCCTGTTACCCTGTGAAATACTTTAGGTCTCTCTTGTTCCTCACAAACTTATGTAGGGTTCTGACGATCAGTCTTTTGCTTCCAGTTTTCCAACCACCTTTTTAAGAATCCACAGTAGAAAGTGCTAGGGAATAACATCCATTTTTATAGTATTTAGAATTCACCACCTTCTGCTCTGACAAAGGAGCCAGTGTTTGTTCTTTTTAAACCATCTGGCATTGTTTTCATTGCCATGATTTTTCCAAGATCATTGCTTTGGTTTTTGAGATCATAGCCTTTAGTGCCAAAGTCAGCAGTTCTGTGCTTCTTTTGTGTGATTCAGATGATTTCTCTGAGAATAATCACTCCCATGAAAGGGCCAGGAGTCAAGACAGGGTAAATCCTAGCACAGGGGCAGCCCAGGTGGTGTTCAGCCTGACCTCAGGGTGATTCTGACAGCTTTCTCAGTACTTTGACTTTTATCAAATCCTTCTGATAGTAACACTCTATAGTGTGCTGAATTGTACCGCTGAGTGCCTTTGCCTTAAGTGTGACTCATCTGTGCTTGAGCTCCGTTAAAATTTTCAGGTTTTCTTTAGATAGCAGATCACCAGCATCTATTAAAATTTTAAAATGCTCACTTCACCTGCGATTTAGTGGTTTCATACCTTATGTCATGTCTTCTAGAGAAACAAATGCCAGTTGTTCACAAGATGATGTGTACAAGGATGCTGTCTCAGTGCTATTAATAATAGAAAAAAAAAAAGTAAGAGACAACGTCCATGTCCACCAGTAGGGGAAAGGTTAAAGACAGTCTTTTTATGGATGAAGTCATCTGGTATAGACCGACTTCTAGGCATATTAAACAACAACAACAGCGTTGCAGAATAATACTGTGATGGTTAATTTTATGGGTCAGTTTTGCCAGGCTTTGTTGCCTGGTTGTTTGGTCCAACTCTTAGTCTAGATGCTGCTGTGAAGGAAGTTTTTGGATGTGGCTAGCACATCAGTAGAAGGATAAAGCAGATTAGCTTGTAAAATGTGGGTGGGCCAAGAAGAGGAAGGAATTCTGTTTCTAGTACTGCTGTCGGACCCACGATGGCAGTATCAAGTCCTGCTGGAATTGCCATCCTGTCAGTTTGCCCTGCGGACTTCGGACTTGTCAACCCCACCACGATGTGAGCCACTTCCTCAAAATAGTCTTGACAGATACAGATAGGGATGTGGATGTGAACACAGCACACACGCACACACCCTGCTGCTTTTGTTTGCCAGGAGAACACTGACAAATAGAAGTACACATAGTGTGATGCCATCTATTGGGAAAATCATTTCACAGAAGTCTCTGAGACTCTAGCAGTGCTGGGGATCAAACCCATGGTCTCCTGCATATTAAGCAAGTGCTCTGCACTGAACTACACCCCTGGCCCTGCGCTTCAATTATATTTTTCTCCCCATACAAGATAAAGTAAGAGTTGAACCATTCCACTTTTACTATCTAGCATATCCTTCTCCTACACCCTTTGCTTTGAACCTCATGTGGGCGTGTATGGATATAATTCTGACCTCCTCATTCCAGACTAAACCTTCTGCCCCCTTTTTGGAATTTGCCTCGCTTTTGTCACCAATCCTAGAGTTAAGTACCCCATTTTGTCCTTGTAAATCCATACTTGATGTCTGCAGCCACAGAGGTTTCCTTAGTTGCTTCCCAACTTTTATTTCAGGGTGACTCTTCTACCTGGAACCAGCTTCCGTTTGAGTTTTTCTCGTCATGTTCATACTGAAATGTACTTTAAAAATCCTTACCTTCTTGTTTCTAGGGCGAAAGCTTAGTTTGCGTGTCTGGGTTCCCCAAGTGAGTCATTTCCCTCACCAAAATGAAGAACATTGTATTTAAAACCGATGACCTAGCAAAGTGACAAAATCAGCTCCTTGAGTCCTGACTTCTGATGTGAACCCTGACTCTGCATAGGCTAGTGGAGCCCTGGATGGATGGCTGCCTCTCTGATATTTTTCCGACAGAACTTTCCATGTGCCTCCTCCTGGGTGCAGCCACTTGGTGTGTGGGTCCCCTGTGTTGTATGAATTGTAGCAAGGGCAGGACTCAATAATGGTAGTCTGTTGGATCAACACTAGACTTCTGGCTTCCTGAGTGGGTGGTCCTGGCTCAGAGTGGATATGAGCAACAGAAATAATATATTGGAGATTAGTGGTTTGAAAACAGACCGAATAATGTCCTCGAAGATATCGGGTCCTAATCCCTGGAACGTGTAAATGTTACCTTATTTAGAAAAGGGACTTTTGTGGATGTGATTAACATTAAGGGCCTTGAGGTGGAAGATTGTCTTGGATTTTCTGGATGGGCCCTGAGTGCAATCACATATCCATAGGAGAGGAGATGTTACAGTGTAGATCTAAAATACCCCTCAAAAGGCTCCTGTGTTGGATGGAGGCTCCATCCTGCTGCAGCAGTCTTAGCTGTGGGGCTCGGGAAGGTGACTGGGTCTTGAGAGAAGCTCTGACTCCATCCGTGGATTAACACCTCCCTGCTGATTTGAACCACTAGTGGTAAAGGCATCACTATCTGTGCTGCCTGCTGGAGAGTCATGCGTGCAGCATTGGTGGTTCAGAGCCACCAAGCAGTGAGACATACAAATCACAGCCCATCGTGAACATGTTAATCCACTGATGGATTCATAATTTGTTGGCATTGTTGGGAGGTGAGGGAAACTGTAGGGTTGGATGTAGGTCACTGGGGGACTTTCCTTGGGGGCTATATCTTGTTCTAGACCCCTTCCTTTCTGGCTCTTTTTCTCTCTCTCGGTTGTCATGAGGTGAGCAGCTTGGGTCCACCGTACCCTTCCAGTGTGATGTACTGCTTCACCTTAGGCTCAGAAACAGTGGAGCCACTCATCACGAACCATGGCAGAAACCTTTTCTCCTTTAAATGGTTTATCTCAGATATTTTGCCACAAGATGGAAAGCTAACACAGGGAGGTAGAGATTTTATGTGAACTAAGAGAGCAGTGTGAAGCCGGAGCCCAGTTAAAATTGCTGGCCTTGCAGATTGGAGTGAAGCTGCCACAGGCCACACAGCAAATGCCAGCAGCCACCAGGAGCTGGAAGGAACAAGTAATCGACTCTCCCAGAGACTCCAGAAGGAGCATGAGCTTGTTAATACTTTGATTTTGGCTCAGTGATAACTTCTTGCAGCCTTCTGCCCTCTACTACTAAAGAATAAATTTCTGCTGCTATAAGCCACCAAGCTGGCTGTTACAGAAGTCCTCGGACAATAACGCAGCATTGCCCCAAGGTTGCTCTGTATAGTGCACTTGACAGCATGTTTGCATGTGAAGAGTCAGTGGAAAACTTGGTTGATTTAAGCCTGGACTTCCTGCAGTGGGTTGAAGGGAGCTATGGTGGAGATTTTATCACAGTCAAGTATCGAGACAACCATGAAGTCATGTGGTTTGGTGAGGCGGATCAGAATGAGGGAAAGGAAGGCAGACAAAAGCCTGGGGTGTGTGTGCTGGGGTTGGGGGTGGTTTGCAGGGTGAGGCAATAAAGGTAAAGGTTGTAGGTATCAGGATGTCATTGTTTAAATTTAAAATGTTCCCCCCAGCCTTAGGTGTTCTGAAGGAGGATTTTGTAGGTGGTTAGATCATAGAATAGTTAGTTGTATGGGCAGTCAGTAGGTAGGGTATAATTGGGAGAAGTGGGTCCCTTGCATGCTCTGGCTCTTACCTTCTTCCTCTGCTTCTTGGTTGCCATGGGTTAAGCAGCTTTCCTGCACATGCATTTCTGACTTGCCATTCATGCCTTGGGGAACTGTCTGCCATTGACTGAATCCCCTGAAGCCATGAGCCAAGATCTTTTCTCCTTTAACGTGTTCCTGCCTACTTGTACCACCTGATTGGACTATCTCATACCTTCTTATGGGACAGTCATGCACGTAACACTGGTGGTTCAAGCTGGTGGGAACATGACATTCAAATCAGAGCTCCCCCTGCAGAGAGGCATATGAATTATGGCTCCGTTGTGCAGGTGTTAGGCATTTTGTCATAGCAACAGGAAAGATGACTAATACAGATGCTTTTCTGACAATAGCAGTGTCTATCTAAAAGGAGTTTAGGCAGCAAGGATTTTCCTCATCTCTGAGCAGGAAGTCTGGAGGAAGGTGAGGAGGTTGTAGGACTCTACAACCTTTTCAGTAGCTTAAGAATGTCATCAGAGACCCAGGTGCTGTCATCTTTATGCACCCCGATCCTCAGATCTCTCCTCATGATCTCAGTCAGAAGGAAGCTACTGCAGGTTCAAGCATCACATGCAAACGTGATGGCAACTGTGAAGAAAATACAGTTTTTTCCTGCTGTGTGTCTCCTTCTGTTAGCAAATATGCCCTTTCCCAGAAGTCCTAGCTGAGTTTATTTTACCAGGGCTGAGTCTCAGACCCATATCACTGGCCAGAATCAGGGTCAGCTGGAGCTGAAGAGGGAGTCAACTGGGAAGGAGGACGTTGGTGTCTGGTGGCTTTTGGCTCTGGCAGTCAACAGTATTTGTCACTGCGTGGGACCAGACAAGGCAGGGATGTTCCTACAGGTCTTGTAAAGAAGACTGGGTCTTTGGTAACTTGGACAGTGGGAAGACAGAAGGAAGAATTTGACTTTTAATCTGTCTCTGCACTTTTTTCTTTCATAAACTTGATTGTCCTGTTCTCTGCAGCACCTTTTATTTCCTGTACAAAGAGAATATAAGTTAGCTCTTCTAAAAATGTTATTCAACAAATAAATATCAAATTGCTGCTGCATATCAACCACTGTGAGAACATGATGGATGGAGGAAATTCGGGCAGGAAGGATTGATTCCCTTTACCTTGAGGGAAAGAGTGCAGTCATTAAAAATGAATGCACCCGCCCCACCACGCCACGCCTGATCTTTCTGTATCCATCAATATTTTTTCTTTGCTGTCAAGCTTCCTGCGGGGTGGTGAAAGGCCCTAAATCAGAGAAACCTTTTAAAGTTGATGTGAAGGGGCAGGCAAGTTTGCCACTTTGGTGGAGGTCAGGGGCAAAGTGAATTTGGAGTCTTGCTGCCAAGGAAGAGAGGGTGAAAGAAATGATGGCATGTTCAAATCTCGCGACAAACACAGCTTTAAAAAACAGTATGTTTTAAAATATTCAGTGTATGCCCCAGAATGACAAGGAGGTGTATTAGTCTGTATTCTCCAGTGAGACAGAAGCAGTAGATTTTGCAGCACACGCATACCCATAGGCGTGCACACACACACACGTGTACATATAATAAATTTATTATAAAGCTCATGTGATTATGGAAGCTAGTTACTACAGCCTGCAAGCTGGAGAGCCAGGGAAGCCGGTAGAATAGTTCAAGGCCTGAGAGCCACAGGGCAGGCAGTGTCATTCCAGTTAGGTCATAGGAGGATGCTCTTGTAGTTAAGTATTTACTTGTTGCCACTTCTTGGAATGCATTTTTTCTGACATTCACTTGGTCAAGAATGTTAATAAAACTAAACAAAAAGGAAGGGCCTGTGAAGCATGACTGGTTGAGAGGCTCCACTCAGCAAGGATGTGCTACAGTCAGAGAGAGGTCTTTGTCCATGGGTCCCATCACGCCGTCCCCTGCCTTTTACTGATTTCATGTCTTTCTCGGGTGCTCTCGTACAGTGGTACCTGCATCCAGGGACAAGTTTGTTTGCAAATGCTTTGGTTCACAAACAGAAGAGTTTGGCAGAATTTGTTTTTGCAAATTCTGCATCAGGTAACAAACATGACTGTGGCCTAATTTCCCACACAAACACTAACTTGCCCATCTTTTCCAAAATTGTAGAACAAATTAAGTTTGGGAACCGAGGCACCACTGTATTGGGATCTAAAAGGTGGTATTCTGGCCAGGATCTAAAGAACATGGATGGATGTGACAGTCAATATTTTTAAGCATCCCACAAACAGAAAGGAAAGAAGACAAACAAGTCAAGAAACTTTGAAATTTACTGTTCTAGTTTCTTGATTTAGTATATTTTGCTGACCATTAAAACCCCTTCCATTCTCATGATCTATTATTTTAGAAACATTGGCCCCAAACCATACCAATAAAATGTAATAGGGATACATTTAAGTATCAAAAAATCAATGGCATTTAGATTCAAAAAATCAATCATACAAAATGGGGATGCCTGATTTGACAGCAATTATAGTGAAAGAAAGCTTAAGGAAGGCCAAGAATATACCTACTACTCTCCTCCAGATGTTCTGGGCTGTGACAAAGTGGGGTTTCCCATATTACACCCAGTGTTACTTTGTTACTGCCCACCTGTGCTGATACCCTCCTCTGGATCAGGTCTTCATTTTTGAGACTCTAACCCTTTCTGATGCAACCCTAATGCCACCATCTTTGAGATCATCAGCTGGATTTGTTCTCCCTTCCTCTTGAAATAACCACATCTCACCTTATCTTAGAATTAAGTTTTTTAATTGCTATGCAAACTCATTGAGTCAGGAAATGATACTTAACATTCCTTGGATCCATATTAGTTCCTTTTATGTAACAGGTTTTTAACAAGCATTGGTTGGATGCATAACTGAATAGTATGAGATTACTACTGCTTACAAAGGACATCTTTGGCCATATTTATGAATATGCACATAGGAGGAACCCTCTGCTTTTTCTGTTTTGGAGTCTCATGTTCTACCATAACTGCTGTATTAGGTAAGAAACATGGACAGATTTGGGGGGAGTACCAGGGAGTGACAGTAACGCAGGATACACCTGGAAATGGTTAAAAACAATTGAGCATATTTATCTTGAAAGAGAAGAAAACAGGACATTAAGGTAGCTGGCTTCATACCTTTGAATAGCTGACTTATGATAAAATAATTAGACTCTATTTTTGCTAGTTGGGAAGGAAAATCAAGGTCTGGCTGCAGAGTTGATGTGGAACTCCTGAGCAGTGGAAGGGCTGGAGCCTGGAGCTGTCAACTCGCAGATGCCGGTGCATTTCCAGTGGGCAAGAGGGACTAGAGCAGTGGTTCCCAAACCTTGTCAGTCCTCAGGTTCACTTGGATTCCTGTTGAAAACACCCATTTGGAAGTTTCACTTCCCTCTGGGGATTCAGAGTCAGTAGGTTTGTGGGTGGGGATTAGGGATTTGCATACAAACAAATTCAGCCAGGCCCAAGAACTACTGAACTGAAGGACCACTTTGATCCCTTCTAGCTTTAGTAAACTGTGATGAATGGTTATATCATGGCCTCTTTGAGGCAGGATTCTTAAACACTGTATTTGGTGGAAGTGAAAAGGGCATTCTGTTTGCTTGTATCACATGGAAAATTTGACTTTAAGAGGCTGGGAAGCTAGTTTGTACTTAATCTTAGTCAAAAGGCCGAGAAGCGATAGGAAGCTAGTCTAACGAGAACAAGAAAATTGTGTTTTCTTTTTTTTTTTGAGACAGAGTCTCAATGAGTAGTCCAGCGTGGTCTTGGGTCTTGAACTCACTATGTGGTCCAGGTTGGCCTCAGACTCATGGCCATCCTCCTGCCTCAGCCTTCCCAGTACTGGGATTGCAGGTGTGAGCTAACACACCTGGTTTGTGTTTTCATTTTTAAACCTTTTCTCTTTTTGCAAACGTGGTGAGTGGAAAACTTCACCTTGCATTATATCCAAGAAAATGAAAACATCTGTTCATAGAGTATATATAATGACCTTTATATAAATGCTTACAGCAGCTTTATCTGTAATGTCCAAACAGTGGAAAGAACCTAAATCTCCATAAAACAATTAAGAGATAAGCAGATCCCTGGTACCAAAAAAAAAAAAAAAAGATAAGCGGGCCCAGGGATTTAGCTCAGTGGTTCTGCCACCTGCCTCGCAAGTGCAAAGACCTGAGTTCGATCAATCCCCAGTACCAAAAAAAATTAAGAGATAAGCAAAATGTGGTGTGTCCATATAATAGAATATTATTCGACATATAAAGGAATGAGACACTGATACTTGCAGTATCAGTATGGATGCAGCTCAAGCATATTAAAGTGAAAGAACCAGTTGCAAAAAAAAACAACATGTATTAATCCATTTAAATAAAAATGTTCAGATTAGGCGAGTCTGTAGAGACAGAAATTGGATTAGTGGTTGTCTAAAGTGCAAAAGAGAGGGGCTGCTAGCAGGTACAGGATTCCTTTGGGTGTACGGTTGGGCAGTTCTCCTACTGGGGTGGCGTGGCTGTTCTCTGCTGGCTTTCTCACGTGTCAGCTGATGGTTAGATGACCTAGAGGAGTATCGCTCACACGCTGACCCCCGGTTGGCTGTTGGTTATCTCATCCAGTTAGGCTAGCCTGGGCTTCTTCACAGGATGACAGTCATAGGCTGTTTCCAAGAGGAGCAAATGGGCAAGAGCAGTTTGCAAACTTATATCATGCTTTAGTTTGGCTAACAAAAGTCACAAAACCAAGCTCAGAGTGAGGTTGGAGAAATAGACACCACCTCCTGATAGTACAGACAGCGGCACTGTCACAGTACCAAAGCAGGGAAGGGATGGGCTTGAATGTGTGTAATGATTTATCAGCTTTCACTGAAATGCCCAGTGACGTTGGAGGTTGGGTGACCAGTCTATGACTCTGTATTTAACTTTCATATGTAAATAGACTTCCAACTTCCATGTATAAAATACTTAGCAAAAAGGTAATGTAGCATCCTGGCAGATTAACTCACCTTTGTAGTGCTGGCTCACGTCTTGTTATCAGTATGATTTACAGCAATTTTGATGACTTTGAGAACACAAGACATGGTGACAGAACCTTCCCCCAAATCATTCAGACAAGTCGCTTGTTCATTCCCTCAACTAACTGTTGAGCAGACACTTCCCTAAGAGACTGCTTAGACTCATCTAGGACAAGATAAACTCCTTGCCTTTGTGGAGGTTGTGTTGCCAGTGGAGAAGACAGCAATAAACAGAAAAACGAAGATGAACTAGTGATCAGTATGGTTAAAGTGGGTGGGAACAAAGGCTAGTGGGAAGGTTTTCTAGAGTTGCAGAAACCTTCTGAGACCATTTCATTTCCTCGTTGGTTTTTGTTCGGTTTTTTGTTTTTCATCGAGGCATCCTTTGGTGGGTCACAGTCCACATTCTGACTGGAACCCAACAACTCATCTGCTATAGGCTTGATGGATTTTATCTCTAGCAGAGCAGTGAGCTGGAGAGCTGGTGGGGTATCGCAGGACTTGTCACAAGGTGGGATAATGGGTAATGAACAATCAGGGGTCCACCTTATCCTGAAGGCTGAATGTTCCAGTAAAGTAGTTGGTTCCTGGTGCTTCAGAAGCCCTGTTAGACTTGCACTTACCAGGAGCAGAGAACATGCTGTGGGATTAGTGCAGTGTAATTTGGTTTGAGGAGAAGTGGACATGAGAGACAGTTGAGTTTAAAAGGCAGTAACCATAGCAACAAGATGCTACAGTTGCATCACTGCAAAGAGAATATTGACCAACTGTGATGGCCCCAACACTGATTGGGAATGTGGCACTTTGAATTAACCAGGTGGAGAAAGTTGGGGTGAGGAAAATCACAGATGCTTTGTGTGGCTCTGCCCCTTGTTAGCTTGGGTAATGAAATGGCCTTTTAATTTCCATATATTTTCCTCCAATCCCAGAACACAAATTTCTCTAATTACTATCAATTTCCTTTTACAAACTTATATATATATATATGTATATATATACACACATATATATATATATATACACACACACATATATATATTTTAAGCCAGCTATTTTCCAGATACATCTTCTGGATTAGCATTTTATAATTATTGGTAAGCTGTCATGAATCTATTGCCAGTAGGTAAAGGTGACATCTGTGACATAATTTTAAGTCCTAGAATGTTTGCAAATTGGCTCCCTTCCTACCACCTCTCTTCAAAATATCTTTTAATGTATACTTTACTTTGGGAGGCATCTTTTTGAAATCCTTTCTCTTTTCTCACAGATAAGGTTAAAAATACAATCCCTCATCCCCCTCAAATTGTCTGAGGAGAGTAATAAAGTGATAAATCTCATTTATTCCCAGAAAGTCTCATTTCCTTCTCACTCGTCAAAGTAGGAGGGAGGAACTTGGCAAGTGCCCGGATGGGGAAAATGTTTCTTGTTTAATTATTATCAAACAAAGCTGTTTCCACATTTGCAGAGCGGACAGGCTTGCCTGCTGCATTTGGCATGTGTGTAAGATGTCAGCTTCTGAAGGCTGCGAGCCCGTGCTATCCTAGGGTATGCAGTCCTGCTGGGTGGCAGACAGCATGGAACGGCTTTGAGTCTCTTAACTGTTTGCACTCAGAGTGGCAGTGTCTGTTCCTACTAATGGTCAGAGCCCGCCCAAGCCATCACCCCTGATCTCCAAACGTCTGGCCTCATTACCTGTGCTAAAATCCAAGAGCCCTGCATCGGTACACATATTGCCTGGTGCCTGCGCAGGCGCACGTGAACATGCACCTCTGGTGACACGGGCAGTGTACTGGCTTCTGCCCCTCCACTTTGTTAACCCATCCCCCACCCCCTCCTGAATATGACTTCAGAGAAACCACAGCCCCCGGGTGCCCAGAGTCCAGGGAAGTGTTATCTTGCACACACAGGTTTGGTTCTCCTGCCAACTTGGCACTGTACAGTAGGAGGAGCCAGGGTAATGTCTTGAGCTAGGATGTTCTTCCCCAGCGGGGGTTTTTATCTCTCTCTCCATGCTGGGCCTTGCAGTAGGTTACCATAAATGAGACGTCAGGGGTCCAGAGGTAACACAAGGTCGCAATGTGTCTGGCATGGAGGAAATAAGGGCTGGGTATACCTGCTGAGTTCCCTCCAATAGAAGCTATTATAATTTATTTCTCTCAAATCAAATGAAGTGATTTTCACTAAGATTTTCCTCTCAGACATTTGCTTAGGCATTTGACTCTTCCTAGAATGATAGTTTGCCTCTGCCAAGTAGTTAAGATCCCCAAAGGTTAATGAACTGAAATAGCAGTGGTTTACAGTTGCTTAGGGTCCCCGGGCCAGCTGGGTGACCTTGCTGAGATGGTGCGGCTCCACTCGTCTCACCTGGGCTGCCTCGCACGTCCAGTCATTGCTGGGTCCTGTAGCCACTGACCGGTCCCGGTGGCTTCTCCCGTGTATCTGCTGGTTGGTTGGGCCATGTGGCTGCTGTCAGCCAGCAGACCAACTCCAGCTTGTCCTCATGGTGGAGGCTAGGTTCCCTGAGGACAGGCAGACAGGAAGGTCCCTGAGGCCTGGCTTCAAATACCTGTAGTCCCATATATCAGATTCTGATGGTCAGAGCCAGGCCCAGGACCAGCCTGGAAATAGGTTGAGGGGTGGACTTCACTCTCTGGGAGAAGCTGTAGTTGTGTTGAAATAGGGGCCTGCACAGAGGTCATCATTGAAACCACAATTGTGAAGTGTTCTTTAATAATAAGTATTATCCATCATTGTGTTGTGCTCCTAAGGGGCTACAGTTTGCTGCCTTTCTTGTGTAGTAGAGAAAGTTAGGCACAGATGTGAATTCACCAGCTGGAATGGGTGGGTGAGGAGTCTTGGAACTGAAGCTTTATACACATTACGTGTATTTTCATCTGTCCCCTTTCCTACATCTAAAAACTCAGCTTTTTTTTTTTTTTAAACTTATTCTCTTTGAACATTTTGAAAGCCAAAGTTGTCTAAAAAGAGATGACTGCTCTCTTAGACTCTATTATGTTGGCCTAATTACATATCAGCAAAATGTTTTTCTGGGGAATTGTGTGTAAAACAAAGGGAAAAACAACATCTCCAGCCGGCCAGCGCTGCCTGTCCCTCCCCCTGGCTGGCAGGCACAGTGGTCCTGGCGGGGGCCTAGGGAGGGATGAGGATGAGAAACGCAGGGATTTGCTCTCTCTGGAGAGAATGGAAGGGGAAGTTGTTCCTCTCCCTCCCCCCACTGCACCTCCATGGGCTTCTGTCTGTCGGGCACCCTGTGCCCCATCTCCTGACCCCGGGTCTGGGAGCTCCCAGGGCAGAAGCCCCCACGTCTCTGCTTCCAAGAGCCAAGCTGGCTGCATGTGGGGAGCGGTGCATGAACTGGGATACCAGGCACGGCCTTGTCCTTCGGGATGCCGAGGAATGTGCTGAGTTCCCTGCAGCACTGACCCAGTGTTGTGATGTTCTTTCACTTGCTCATTGGGAGTTTTCATGGCCCCGGACTGACTAGTACTTCGAAGTTCTTCTGTCCATTCTAACCTTTTGCTGACTTCGGGCTCTGGATCAGTTTCCCTTTGCTGTTATAACAAATTACCAAAAGTTCAGTGGTTTTAACAGCACGTTTATTATTTTACAGTTCTGAAGGTCAGAAGTATGGAATGGAGATTAAAGGCTAAAGTCAGAGTGTTGGTGGGACCACATTCATTCTTCCTGGAGACTTCAGGAGAGACTCGGTTGCTTGCCTTTTCCGGCTCTTACAGCAGCCCACGATCCTTAGCTGATGGCCCCTTCCTGGCATGACTCCAGTCTCTGCTCTGTCATCACATCTTGTGTGCCTCTGACCTTCCTACCTCTCACTTACTTACAAGTGCCCCTGTTTTCACACTGGACTCACCCAAAAACCCAGGGATAAACGTGTCCATTTCCTGATCCTTAGCTTGTATTTGCCAAATCCCTTTTACTGTGTAGGGGAGCCTATTCACAGGCTCTAGGAGTGGGTGGCTGTCGGGGGACGGCACTATGCTGTCTGTCAGATGGTTTCATTTAGCTCCTTCTAGGCAACTCTACAGCTTCTCGCATTCTGCATGCCTAGAGTGGAATCCATCCTTGGATTGTCCCTCCTTGTCCTACGTGCCCTGACATGCGTGTGAGCAGCTATTACCCAGTTCCCCAAGCCACTGTATGGAAGAAGCATAATGAGGTTAATAAGTGCAGCACTGATGAGCACTTGGGTGGTTTCCAGTAAGAAACTTTGTACACTTTTCATTTTTTTATACGTAGAATACATTCCCAGAAGTGAAATTTTTTGGTCAAAGGGCAAATGTGTTTGTAATTTTGAGAGATACTGTCAAATTGTTCTCCAGCAACGCTGACTCAGTTTACTCCTACCATCATCACTACCATCAGCTGTAACAGCGCTTGCTTCCTGACAGCCTTGTCAACAAAAGAGGGTTGTCAAACTTGAAGATTTTCTACCAGTTTTAGATGTAAAAATAGTAGGGTATTAAATTACTCAGGGTAGTTTAATTTGCAATTCTCTCATAACATTCTTCGTTTTTTCACATGCTTAATGGCCATTTGATTTTCCTTTTCTCTGATCTTCATGTCCTTGGACTATTATAAATTACCATTATTAGACTTTTTAAATTAATGTCTCGAAAGCCCTGTAATACAAACTACTAAATATATTGTCCCGTTTCATCATTTGTCTCTTGAATATGTGTATGTCTTTTATCATGCAGGTGGGTTTCTAAGTAATTGAAAAAGAACTTTTGGCTTCTCGAGTAAATTGTTTAGAAAGGCTATGCATGAGGCCCTTTAAAAGCATTAAATAACACAGTTGTGTTAAATAAGGGTAGTGGACACAAGCATCTATTTCCTGAAAAATTCCAGTGAAATGATACTAAAGAGATTACATAAATAGAAGATAGATGCTTTGCTAACTGACCCTTGTGTTCATAGACTTTGTATTTTCAAATTCACCTGCTAACTAAAATGCTCTTGTGACTCCATAGTCAACACGTGTAGTATTTTCATGGTCATCTGCACATGTGCAGAACAGCAAGACACGCGAGCCACTTGGTGTACGTTCCCAGCTAAGGTTGAATGAGGTGCTGCTCTGCCTTGTTCTGATGCTCATGCTGGGAACAAGTTTCCTTTCCAGAGTCCACTCAGTCCTGCATTTTTGTACTTTTTGTCAAACGATGGCTAAGATTAGTGCTGAGGCGCTGTTTGCTTATTGTTCCTGAGCACAGAATGTTAGGATGTGTTTTACACGGCAGATATGAGTATTGAGTCAGTTTGGTTCTGCTATTGCTTCCGGTTCAGTGTCAATGAATCAACAGTATATATTAAAGAAGATGTTTTTAAATAGAAACAGACCTAAAACAAAGTCTTGTGTCGATCAGTTGACAAAAAAATGTGATCAGGGGCTCACAAAAACTTAATCCTGTATTTCCCCTTGGAGAAATGATTTAATATTCACTAATTCAGTATTCATGATGAGTTTATAAAATGTAGCTACCAAGAATAGTGAGGATCTAGGTAAACATACCCAAGGGAACAAAAAGAGTAGAAGAAAAAGTAAGAGGAGTAATTTTTAGAAGAGGGAGGGAACACATTTTTAGAAGAAGGAAAAGAGAAAAATCTAACTCGTTCAGAAAAGTGGACGACACTGACACCTGGGTGAGAAGGGAGCCATTTTTTTTTTTCTGCTGCAGAACCCAAGAAAAGCTCTGGCCTTCAAAGCCCAAATCTTCAGGGGACAGAGGAAGTGGTGAAATGCAGAACTGAAGGTCAGGAAATCAGTTTAAAATTCTAACAGGACGTGGTAAGATCCCGAGTTCTCTGTCTATCTCACATGCAGCCTGGTAACTGCAAAGGTAATGGGTGGGGAGCTGAAGGAACCCTTGGAGAGGTAAAATGTGTGTATTCATGAACCAAAACCAGGATGCTCTAGAAAAGAGAAAAAAACGTAAGAAAGAGCTTTGGGGGTTAAAAATATGTCAGCAGAAAATGTGTAAAAACATAATAAAAAGGCTGGAAAGCTCTCAGAAGGTAAAGTGAAGAAAATAAAATGGGGAAAGGTATTAAAATCAAAACATTAATACCATAACTTGACTGATAGGAAAAGGAGATGATGAAGAGAGAGAAGACAGAAAATGAAAGGGAGAAAAGTTATCAAGTGAAACAAAATAATAAACCAAAAACCAAACACTACAGAAGTAAAGGACAAGAATCCTCACACTGCATGCCCAACAAGTGCAGTCTGAGTCGATAAAACCTGTACTAAGGCATATCGTGAATTGTTGGACTGTCTCAGAAAAGCATTCTAAAAACTTCCAAAGCATTCCAGGTTTCATTCAAAGGATTAGTATAATAAGATAGGAAGGCCAGCATCTGGAAGTGCATGCAGCAATCCTTTCAAAATTTTGGTGGAAAAATAGATTTCAGCCCAGATTTCTTCCCTTCAACTTTTAAAGTGAAGACAAAGGTATCTTTTAAAATGCAGAGGTTCAACTGACTTTCAAGACATTGTTTTCTAGGGAGCCACTGAAGGCTGCATTCCAGAAAAATGAGAAGAAACCAAAAAAAGGGAACACACTAGCCATAGATACCCAGTGTGAGGAAAACCTAGGCCTGGAAAGAAGCCAGACGGGGTTTGAGTGAGTGTTCGTAGAGCTTCAGAAACGCGGTTTCCAGTGGGGAAATGTGGGACATGTATATTTAGGCTCACGGCATAGTTATTCATGACATGAAATGGAGCACGGAGCAATATTTATAAAGTTGTAAGAATGAAAACACAGACTTGCGATTTAATTAAAATTACATGGTAACCACCTGGAGACACAAAGAAGTGAGAAGTATGTATAGGAACAGTACTCCTGTATTTCCCACAGCAGGAAATAAAAAGATACCTAAAATTGGTAAGTAAAGTAGTAGTAGTAGAAATGTATCCTGGCAATAAGCATTGGAGGTTAGCATTTTGGTAGCACTTTTTTAAAAAGAGGCAGGAGTGGCTTTCCAGTGCTCTTCCTTTCCATGTCATCTGAGTGGAAGTTGGGGTTCTCTGGGCCCTGTGGATGTCAGGAACAGAAGCAGAATGCCCTTCACTGTTTGGGGTAGGAAAACTGTCTTAAGACTTGGTTCCCGGGACCTTTTGGCAAGGGAAGTTTTTTCCTCTCTTCAGTTATGGTCATATATTTATAGTAATGTACAAGAAGCAAAGTATTTGATTTCAAACTGCTGTATATTGTCATAATTTTGGGAGGGTAAAGGAAGGCTGTATTGGATGTCTGTCTTTAGTTGATTTGCAACTACTGGAGAAATTACAAGGAACAAAGGGGAAAGGAACCATAAATACAAATGAATTCCTTTCATACAAGTTGAAAAAACCACAGGACGCGCCCTGCTTTTTTTTTTAACACTCCAGGTGTGATGGGAGATTATGTATCCACCACAGGAGAGTGGAGAGTTAATTAAAATTTT